AGAGCCAGCCCAGGAGACAGGTAGGGCTTAGGTACTGGGGAGACCAGAGGCCATTTAGGACCATTTAGTGTCAGCTGTGCCTATTAGGCCCTAAGGAGTGAGTATGTGTGTGTACCCCCACCTACTCCCCAACAATGGTGCCCTGTGATGGAAGGGGTAGGGAATTACCAGTTCAGGGCTGGTGAATTTCACCACAGGGGGCATGAAATTAATTCCTGTCTGTTCTGGAGGTGGCCACATATGAAGAGGCAGAGGGCAGGTGGATGAAGGTACCACAGTAGACTGCTGAGCCCTGGGCACACTTTACTCCCAGAACATTGACTAAGGGGCACAAATTCATGACCTGGCACCATGGACGCTTGTGGGACAGCAGCACTGGCCCACTCCAGATGAAACCTCCTACCCCTTGCCCATCTCCCACCCCTGATGTGGAGCTTTGTCTAGTCCCCTCCAGACCTCTGCAGACCCCCACAAAGTGCTTGGAGCTGTTCTGCCTGGACAGCCAGACGGATGGCTCACTCACACCAAGCTCAAGCCTGCTTACTGTCAGGCTTAGAAATGTTACTCCGAGGCAACAAAGGCATTCTCAGCACTGTCAGCCAGAAATAAGTGGTCACCCAGGGCTACTGGAACAATCTCTGTTCACAACCTCTTCCCTCAGGGCCATTTTCTTTGAGTTCCTGTGGGGAGGGAGGGGGGCATACAGGCAGGCTGGCCCCCAAACAGCTGATTGGGAGCTGGGTCCATACAAGCAGCCAATAGGGAGCTGAGTATCCACAGGAGCAAGGTTAGCTTCACCAGGGGCCACTGCTGGATCAAGATGGCCCCTGAACACAGCTTCCTGGAAGTTGTGCTTCCTCCACAGACCCACGACTGGAGCAGGTTCCCTTCCCAGCAGTGGAGCCTCCACTTTCCCAGTCTTGACCTTTGGTGTTCCCTCCTCACTGTGGCCCTACCTCTTACTTCCATAAGAAGTAGCCCCTTACATTTTTCTAATTTGGGGAGGGGAAGGGAAATAACAAAATGCTGAAATAAGGATACAGGATGACCCACTGTAACAAGATGTACAAGACACTATGTTGAAAATGAACTTTACAACTTGAGGGAGGGGGAGGAGCTGAGGAGGTGGGGAAGAAAGGGATGGTAGGGGAAGATCAAAGGAGGGGTAATAATGCTCAATAGGAAATGGACTCATTACCTTGCTCATGTAACTGTAACCCCTCTGTACAGTATCTTTACAGTAAAAAATATATATAAACTTTGGGGAGAGGGGTCATGGGAGGGGAAAAACCGGGTGAGAATGAGGAAGGGTGTGACACTGTTAAAAGGAAATGTACTCATTACCTGATTTATGTAACTATAATAAAGATTAAAAAAAAAGTAGCCCCTGACTGCAGCAAGGAGTTGGGGAGCAGCACTCTTGCCCTGACCAGTGGTCACTAAGGCTGCACGGGCTGCTGAGGGATTTAAAGAATGAACGATTGGGGAACCTCCCTATGCCATTCCTATTCAACACGGAGCTGCAGAGTATCCAGCCTAGGCCAGTGTGAGGCAGTTCTTATAAGCCATCTACTAGTACTAGGGCCTAAGAAGGCTTTTTAGTGACCCCAGCCCTGCCACTTACCTGTCATGGTGCCAAAGAGCATGTACCGTAGCCAGGACCATACCTGGGGTAGCTGGTCTTGAAAGCAAGGTGCTTGAGCTCAACAGAAGGGACCGGGGTAACTCCATTCAGTACCCTAGTCATCTCAGAACAGCAGGTGCCAGGCTGTGGCACTCCATGGAACCACAGCCACACAGCTGGGAAAGTCCTTTGCTTCTGTGACTAGCATGAGCAGTTGGACCAAACAGGAGGCCTTGTCTACTCTGGCAAAAACCCTAGGGCTGGCCAGGCACTGGTGTAATTACAGCTACTCAGGAGGCTGAGATCTGAGGATCACAGTTTGAAGCCAGTCTGGGTTCCATCCATGGAGGCTCTTACCTCCAATTAATCACCCTAAAGCTGGAAGTAGAGCTGTGGCTCAACTAATAGAACACTAGGCTTTGAGCAAAAACTCAGGGACAGTATCCAGAGCCTGAGTTCAAGTTCCAGGACTGGCATAAAAACAAAAACAAGGGGCTGGGAAGGTGGCTCAGTAGTAGAGTGCTTGCCTTACATGCATGAGGTCCTGCGTTCGATTCCTCAGCACCACATAAGCAGAAAAAGTCAGAAGTGGTGCTTGGCTCAAGTGAAAGAGTGCTAGCCTTGAGTTAAAGAGCTGAAGGAGAGTTCAGGCCCCACAACCAACCAAAAAAAAAAAAAAATCCAGAACTGGGAAGGCGACAGGAAGCCTGCCAGGGTTACCTCTCAGTTTAGGTGTCTTTCCTGCTAGTAGTCATCAGACCTTCTATAGGGAAAGGGGTTTGAGGCTCACTCTGCTGGAGGCCATATACCTGAAAGTGGCCTTACAAATCCACCTGTGGGTGCACCCACCAGCCAGGATTATGTGTGATCTCTTATTCACCTGCATCCTTGCTGGCACATACCAGGATGCGTTTATCCAGCAACTCCAGAAGATAAAGCTACAGTGATCCTGACAGGCCATTGCAAACCAGGACCACTGTCCACAGCCTGTGTCTCAGTGCCTCCATTCTACAGATTAACCCTTCAGCCATCCCAGAATGACACAAGAAACACAGGATTCCCAAGGGTGTGTTGATCCTTGGCCCTGGTCATCTCTAGCTGGGGAAAGCAGAGCTGAGTCTGTGGTAAGCCAGCGTGTCTTCCCTGGAACAAGGCCCTCTGCGAAGTGATGGGCAGCTGACCCCCAACTCCCTCCACACTGCAAGTTTAAAGATGTTAGGGTACTCTCTTCCCGTTCAACTTTCCTTGGAAGAGACATACCCCAGAAAATAAGTATGACTTGGCTAATGAGCTGAGTCTGCAAGCAAACATGATTCTTCTCACCCTTGAGACAGTGATTGCGTCCTCCATCTTAAGTAGGACTGATAGGTGACCTGGGCTTTCAGACCTCATCCACAGATGTCTGGCACCGGGCAGATGCTCCAGGCCTGCAGGCCAGCTCCAATACCTACCACTACCCTTCAGGCAGACAATGACATCAGCCTTGGCTGATTCCAGGGAGGCCCATTTGGGGGAACACCAAACTCTGTGTCCCAATCCCCACTGCACAGGCTGCAAGGCCTCTGACCACAGGAGAAGAAGCTTACCAGGGACTGGTGGGGCTCTGTGCTAACAACTTCATGCTTTTTATTCAAAGAAGCCATCCCAGTCCTTGTCGTGGGCTGCCAGCTGGCCCACTAGGGGAGCAGATTTGAGGTGGGGTGAGGGTCTGTTCCCCAAGCGCACTGTGTTCTGGCCAGTGAGTTCCCTGCACAGCAGCTGCCGCCTCCTGGACACATTTCCACACTCTTTGGGAGCACATTATTGAAGATGCCTCTCCCTCTGAAGGGTTTTTTCTGGCCCTAGGAATTTTCTGGGCAATTAATTCCAGCTAGCCTTTTAGGGATTCACTATCAAGAAATACTTCTTGCACCCCCAGGTCCTCCCCAGAGAGCAAGCCGGTCAGAAGGCTCTCCCTGGTATGGGGTGAGGGACAGATGACAGCTCAAGGGATGTAAGTCAGCTGTGGGCTAGTGAGAGAAGGTGGTTCCAGTGGGGGTGTTTAGAATTCTGTGCTCACCCTGAGCCTTTAGGTAACAACAGATTTCCAGAACCCATTTGAAGTGAGTGATATAAGATCTACATGAAAAGCATACAGGATTTCTTAAAGCTATGCAGTCTTACCAGGGCTTTCAGGCCCTGGGAAAGGAAACAATTCCTATTGGTGCTGGCTGGGCACAGAAGCCTGGGGCCTCTGAGCTAGAAAGCATGGGTAATGACCACTTCACACAGGTTGGCATACACATGGCAAATGTCACACAAAGACCCAGAACTGCTTAAATACAGATTTATTGCAAACCAACACTGAGGAGCCGAAGCAGCTTTGCAGGCTGGACACCCCATTCTCCTGGGTCCCTGGACAAGGGGGACGAGACACCCCGCTCTCCTCAGACCTCAGTTGGCAGGACTTAGTGGCCAAACTGCAGCTGCTGTGTCTAAAAAGAGAAAACAGGCAGTGTGCCAGCTCTGATGGCTGGGCAGTCCCAGGGCAGTGTCTCAGGGCAGGTAATCATTAAGAGGCTTGTTGGAATTAAGCCATGCCAGGACTGAGCACACAGGTGTGGGACCTCCACAATCATACCATGCACTGCAATATGGCACAGTGGCTACTCCTGCCACGTCCCCCTCCCAGCTACTCTTCCTCGGCACTGGTTTCTTGTTTGTTAAACGGGGCAAGAAGTGGGAAGAAATGTAACACAGAAAATAATACCAGGCACAAGGAAGAGAAGTCATAGGAGTGAACGACTGAAAGCCAAACAAAAAGCACAGGGCTCCTACACTCTACCAGTCCTTCTGGAAGACCACCTGCAGGGCGGAGCTTGGGGCAGGCCAACTAGGGGATTACGGAAGAGAGACCACACACACACACACACACACCATGAGACCACTAGGGGACTACGGAGAACACACACCCACACACACCATGAGACCACTAGGGACTACAGGAGCACACACACCCACACACCCACACCCACCATGAGACCACTAGGGACTACAGGAGCACACACACACACACACACCATGAGACCTCCTTTTGTTAGGTGAGGCAGTATGAAAATCACACACACACACACACACACCATGAGACCTCCTTTTGACACACACACACACACACACACACACACACACACAGATGTATATATTTATCATGGACATAAACAGATTTATAAATTAACATGAAATAATGGAAAATATTGGTTTCTGATGATATACAATAGTTACGAGTTTTCTACCCTCCAAAAAAAATGCATCTACCTTATTCTAGTTTGTTATA